TTAATGTAAGAACTTCAGCTGTGATTTTTCTGTTGTGTGCTCAATACAAATGTCCTTCTTAGGCACTTTATAGATTTGGAATGTATTTAAGCTTGAGTCATTTGTCTGGATTTTCATCGGACTTGAATTCCATTAGTCTGTAGGATTTTGCCAGTTCCTTGTTTTTTAGTTTATCCCAGTGGTAGGTTTTTGTTATTTGTATGTGTGGAGGTGCTTTTGCTTTGGGTTTTCTGGGGTTTTTTTTAGTTTTTTTTTTTTTTTTTTTTTTTTTAATGCAAAAGTGAATTGTAGAAGATTCCAGATAATCTGTGGCTGGTGATTCTAATGCATTACGTTAATGAAAACTGGCTTTATATTGTTACGAGGATAATTCTTCAATGAAGAAAAATTTTTTCTTAGAAAGCCTTTTCTTAAAAAATATACTGTCTCTTTGTCTCTTGGCACTGTTCAGATGTAATACATTGAGACTTCAGTACTATTTTGGTGCATTTTTTTTCTAAGTGCTTAATAGCTATTGAGTCTATTGATTTGCCTTTTCTTTTATTCTGATTCTTTTCAAAAGGTCTCCTGAAGGGTTTATCAGTTCTTTTTTAGCCATAATTTTTCAGGAACACTAACAAGGGAGGTTTGTCATTTCCATTTCTGATAGCACAGGCAGGTGTTGCATGCCTAGTTTCTGGCTTCTGTGGCTATCTCCTCTTTGAGACGAATAAATAAGTTAGAAACATAGAATATGCTTGAAGAATATGAGTTAGGAAGGCTGCTACCACAGTCAATTCCTGGCCAAATTTGCTGATAGTCTGTGCCTGTGTTGGATACTACCAGGTCAGTAGCTATGGATTAGTGGATTACTGGTTTGTATATGTAATAAGATTTTTTTTTTTTAATTGCTGTAAAAGCGGAGTGCAGAGAGGCACATGGCTGGTGTTCCTTGTGAATTAGCATAAACAATGCTTTCAGATACAGAAACCTCTGGTGCTTGAGATATGCATAAATGCCAAGGTTGTAATTAATATTGTGAACTTCCAAGTATTCTAGCATTTTTGAAAACTGATGAAATCACTGTTGTGTCTAAAATAAAGAAATAAGATATAGCCAGGCAAATTCTTGAGTGAACAGCTGTAAGAATTCCCATCGTTTGGCTGGCACCAATTTTGCATAGTTTATTCAGTATGTTTCACATTGTATCTGAATTCTTTCAGAACTGCCTTGGTTGTCACTCCAGGATAAATTACATCATAGGCAGCTCAGAAAATGGCTGTTGCCTTAGGAGTATTGTTAATAAAGATAAAGGCTTTTAAAGTAAAAGGTACACAATGAAATACTTGTCTGGCTTATGCATACAGCTTAGGAATCTTGTTCAAGTTTGACTGATATGCTATTAGAATGATTTATTTTTACTTAAGACAAATAGGTTTAATTTGTAGATCTCTGAAATATACTACCTGTATAAATGTGTTAAGAAGGTACAACATAGGAGTAAACCCACAAAATCTGCCAACAGAGCCCTATCAGACTTCTCCCTACCTATATGTGTTCTATGTGTCTTAACAACAACAATATGGAAATCCTCCTCTCAGATCCTGCCCCTATCTCTGTCTAGTTGACCTTGCTTTTAACCAACTAAACTCTTGGGGAGTGGAATGTTGCAGCTAAGTGTCAGGCTACAAACAAGGTACTCTGGATGAAGCCTTATGCCAAAGTGAGTTTGAATGTATAATTATGGTCACACTCAGATATGCATATGCCATGACATCTGAGGATCCTTTGTGGCAATTTGTACAGAACACTAATGATATGTACTAATATAATGTTAGCCATGCTAGTATCACGAATCTGCATTTGGTCTTCAGACTCCTGCAGTGTATTCGATATGGTTTTAAGATAGTTCCAATCTCTACCTATTACCTAAAAAAGAAAAATAATAATGTGTATATGCAAAACATGAAGCCCACCTTTCCCTGTGAAACAGTAAAATGGATGAATTAAATATTTTTCTTATCTATTTCAATTACACAAAGATTTTGGATGATTTAATAATGCCTCTTTCTGCGAGTGTTGACTGGCATTTATTGTTGCAGTCATGGCAATGCTTGCTGGCCATAGAATGATGGATTACTGGCATCGCACTCCTGTAGAAGGTGTTACTTTTGGTCCTTAAATATGCAGAATACTACACAGAAATCCATTAGTGAATATTACAACTGTGGCAGTAGAAACATTCTGCAGTATGGGCTATAGATGAGAATACTTTCATTTTCAAACATCTCTGCTTTTTTAACATGTGAAGAATTTTTCTTGTTCCTTCAATTCTCCCCTTGCACCAATAAAAATTGCTGACAAATGCAGTCTTATTTGCAGCCATTAATTCTTAGTTGTGCAAAATCACCTTAACTGTTTTCCAGCAAGTCTTTTTTCATTTAGAGGTAGCCTTTGTGTACCCTTTCATTAATCATAAAGGCTGCTTTGGATTTGACTGGACTTACTAGGTCAACAGACCTTGAATTGGAGAAGATAGTTTTATGGTCTACTGAGAAACCAGTTTTACATGGAAATGAAATACAAGAACAAGGGTTGGAAAATGTTAAGGCTGTGGTATAAAGTAAAACATACCTGTGTGAGCCAAGGACAGAATACTATCCACTTTTAATTTCCTGACTTTTGTTAGCTTGTAAGTCAGTGCTTTCATTTAAATGCTTTTGCCTGCATTTTTACAACTTATTTGGAGAGACATATTGGCCAGCTTCTGAGCTACTGTATGCTGACAACAGTTAATCATGTGTTTCTTTGTCTTTTAGTGAAATTCAAGATTCCTATGTTTATGTTGTTCTTATTTTTCATGATTTGTAGTATAATTAGGAGTGGCTGGCTTGGCTGTTTTTGGTGCTTTGTACATATTAAATTTCATTGCCCAGTATGTGGGAATGTAGACAGCATTTACCAGCTCATTAACCTCTTTAAATTGGCTGCAGAATGGATGATTTCCTGTCACCATCACAGGTCACTGGATGCATTGCATTCTAATGGACTCTTTCTAGAATATTTGCAAAATGTTAAACTACTACAGCACTGATTGACTGATTGGCATGTTTTTTCTGGTTTACGTAGTTTTTGTTCTAGTTTATGGATTTTTTTATGGGGGGAAAATCCAGTGAAGATAATAGGTTAATGTTATTTTTCTGAAGTCAGAAAGGCAAATGCTGACTAAGAAAATCTCACTAGGTGATCCTGTTCCTCTACAAAATATAAATATGTTATACACACACATCACATTTCCAGGACACTCAGTATAGAGTGTGTTTGGACAATGATGAAGTGCATATGACTGTGTGATCTCACTGGTGTACTTGACCACTAGTAAGCATTGGCCCTGGCTTTGTTCTTAGGAGTTTAACATGATCAGGAAGGTGGCCTTTGATTTTCTGTGTTGAAAGTAGTGTCCTTCACAAAAGCCATGATGTATTTAATTGAAGAAGCCCATAAACCTTATTTGCTCAGTGGGCTATGTCTGGGTTGACGTTGTCATTCTTTCAAACATTACTCTTACTGAGTCATGGAAATTCGTGTATGTAGGCAATTTTGCTGTTCAGCTTAGCTTTTTCAATCAAGTAGAGCACATCATGAGAAAGAGCTTAGAAACTAGAAGATTCTGAGTTTTCTTTTCTGAGTACTCGCCTCATAAAGAGCAAGCTTGGTGTTAGCTTCTGCTAGTTTAGCAGCAAGTAGAGCTGGGTGATTCCAGATTGTCATGTCAGAATTTCTAAAGTCACTTAACTTGCCAAAATAAGTCACAGCCAATCAGGAGCATTGAGAGAGCAGACACTAATACTGCAGTGGTTAAATATACTTTCCTGTGCATGTAGGCAGCACATACATGGAACTTGCTTACAGGTGGCTGAATACTAAGAGATGTTGTGAGTCATGAAGTTAGCAGGCCACCAAGCCCTTTGTATTAGTTGCTAACTCTATCCAAGCTCTGTAAGATTGTAATGAAAAGACATGAGAAAGCTTTGTGACTGTCTTGCAATTCATTAATTATAGATGCTGTGGATTAATCACATAGGCTCATCAGAGTGTAATTTAAGATTCCAGAATACATCAAGAGGAGTCATTCTGCGTGTCATACTGCAAAAATGAGATAGATATAATGTATTAGGTTTTATGCATTAACCTAATAACCTTGTCACAAATAGTAAGACTTCTATCCAGAATTCTTACTTAAAGGAATGCCTTTGATTTATTTGTATAAAACCCCAGTATAGATTACAGATTCAAAGCTAACTTTTAAATGTGCTATTCAAGGTGCTTTTTGAAAAGAAACTTACTTGCTTTTTCTGAGTGTAATTTGTTTGTTTTAACTGGAAGTGATTACTAAGCTGGTCTTTTCATAAATATTTACAGCTTGACACTCTGCTGAAATCAAAGTCCCTGTTCATCACAGCACTGACATGTGTGCTCATCACTTAGGGTTAATTGATCTGATAAATGGGTACTGAATATCTATACCTTTGTGTTGCAGTCATGATGTTCTCTGCTATGACATATTATGCAACTCTTTGTGATTCCAAGGAACGTATAATTGGATATGTATTTTTTTTCCTGGCCTTGATGTCTCATCATCCTAATATTATATACTATGTATTATGCTTTTATTTACATCTCCATTCTGTTCTTAATTTCAAATGTCACAACCAGGAACTTCTAGTTTTCAGTTATTAATGCAACAACTGAATTTAGCTTTTATATCACATACTGTCCATACATTGTTACTAATGAAATTTGATTTCTCTGACCTCAATATTGGAACAAGTTTATCTTTTCAACTTTTGCTTGTACAAGTTGAAGTTGGGTTTTCATGACAGTCATTAACCCCAAAGCCATATTTTATGTACCAGTTTAGTTTGAAAATTCTCGGTCCATGATTTGTTACCTTATTTTTAATATGATATATCATATTGCAGTTCACCTAATTTTATTTAATTTCCTTTTCTCTAATGCAGGGTTGGGAAGAAACTGTGGATGCTGCAGTCTCTTACTTATTAAGAACTTGTTTATCAAAGAGCTCCAAGGAGCAGGCCCTGACTCTCAGCAGCCAGTTGTCCATGCCCAAAGATACCAGCAGACTGAAGAAAAACATCACCCTCTTCTGTGATAGATTGGCCAAAGGCGGTCGCCTTTCACTGAGTATGGACTCGGCCACTCACTCAGCTGCTGCTATGCCAGGTAAAGACATGAAGTTCGTGAATGTTCAGAATCCAAAGTACTTATTTGCATATTAAAGCTAAAAATTTTGCACATTTTATTTTCTTGGCAGTTTGTTTTCCATTGATTGTGGGAACCAAACCCTGTTGGTGTCACTGACAAGTAGAATGACTTAGGTAATACGATAATTTCAGGTTTGAAGTTTTCTCATTCTATTCAACGCTTACTGTTGCTCTTACAAAGTATGCAGAGTAATGCAGCAAATGAAACACAGATGGTCACTGTTATACTGAAAATTCTTATCACTTATTTCTTTGCACTTTTCAATTGGATGTGTGCATGTGTATCTGTATGTGTATGTTTCTAATGTGATGGAAAAAGGAGGAGTGAAAAGTCCTGTTTTCTTGGTAAAGAAATTAATATATTTGTATTAGTGGCTTTATGGCATATCCATATGATAAATAATGAAGTAGTAATAACACTAAATTAAAAATCTGTAACTTTAGAAAGTACTAGTTAACTGGGTGGTATCTCATAGAAAGCATGAAATTGAAGATGGAACTAATTTGAGTATGTATTATTTCCCATATAGAATAAGAATGTGAGCAAGATTTCACAATAATTTACGTGACTGTCAAGGAATTACTATTTTTAAAGGAAATTTTATTAATGTCCTTTTCTGTTTTCTGACTTTTTAGTTGTAGTGGGAGCAGAGTTATACTTTTTCTGTACAGTCTGGAGTTTAGCATCTTTATATTGTTGCAAGACATTTTCTTCCTGCAGTTTTCCTCCAGTGAGATAGATAGACTTAGTAAACATTAGATGCTCCTGGTGACTTGGAAACAGGTATTTTTTTTCCCTATCTTACTGCTCCAGATCTGGATTGGCTGCTTGTTCAGCTTCATAATCTCCAAAACCGTAATATCACTATGGTCTTTGACCTCGGTGCCTTCCTTCTCCTACAGCAGTCTTCACATATGTAAGGAAAAGTTTGTATTTTATATATGCATCATGCTTAAACCTGGGAGTTTGTTTTGTTGGCTATATGGATATTGTTATTGATAAAGATTGGAATTATGTTAGGGCAGTATCTTGATTATCAGTATTTTGCTTTCTTACATTATGAAGAATAATTAAATTCTTGTTTAATATAATATGAATGGTCTGTACGATGTTTCAACAACTCAAAAGTCCTTGTTATGTGCAGCCCTCCTTTGCATGTGCCACTATAAATGATCTGGTAAAACAGCTGCAGACTACGCAGTGGTAGAAATTCTATCAACATATATTAATTTACTTTAGTGTTATACTGTTGTCATATCTGGAACCAGACTCATAGTCATGTGAAGTAAGGAAGTGAGGCATAATAACTAAGTGTCATATTGGCTTTACACATTTCTGCTAGTATTTCTTTGCAAGACTAAAATATGTGCAAAGGGCATTTAATTTGTTGCACTTTGATTATATAACCATTGTTTTCTCTTCTAAGAATTTTGAAAAGGTGTGAGTAGCTGCAGTTCAACTTTTTCCACCTAAGCTAATAAGGTGAATTGATTTAATAAAGAAATTCACTTCTTCCTATTTAGTTGACTAATGAGTTCAAAGAACTATGCAATTAGATTATCAGTCTGTTAGGAAAGGAGAAAAATTTGTAACTATTATAAACAAATTAGAAGAAATATTGCTCTTGATATTCTTTGCATTTACTCATTAACTGTTGAGAGAATATAATTTTTGAAAGAGATTGAAACTAAAAAATGTTATCTTAATTAATGAGAAGTTCATTAGAGAGAAATACTGCTGTCAAATGCTCAGAATAGCATAGTATTTAAATAGCTATCCTCCAGCAGGATTTGCTGTGTGATTTGAAACTGTGTTTGTCTTTGAACAGACTGAGAAAACGTAGAACTTCTTTGTGAGAATAAAGGTTTTACTGACACTTTTTAAACATGTTTGTCTTGTCACCTGTTCAGGTTTTCTCTGGCCATCTCTACCTTGGCAAGTAATGTGGTCTGTTAGAAGCAGATCTGTAGGCAGAAGGAGTTGAGGCTGGCAATGTGATTTGTATCTTGTATTTGTTTCAGAACTAGCTCTGTGCCGGTACTGGTTCTTCATTAGCAGTTGGAATGCTCTAGGCACATTCCTGGAATTCATTTGCCTGGTTAGACTTACTAAAAGAAATTAATTCCTGTGCTCAAGACCACTCTTCAATATGAAAACAGTGCTGTTAGTGGGGATAATAAAAAAAAAATTGGCTTACTGTTGAGTCTAGCTAAAAGCACCTGTTGTCTCTACACGTGGAAGAAATTGAGAATGGTGTCTTATTATATAGGGAAACCAGTACACAAAATATTTGTGCTGTTAAGAGCTCTTTGATAATGCCTAGAAAATGGAGAAACTCCTTTTCCCAGCCCTTAAAGGAGAGAACTGGAATAGGTACAGGAGAACGAGGTAGAACCATATGTGGAGAGGGAGACGGAGAATTGTATTGTTATCTGAGGCTTTATGGTGCAGTACTGGATGGTAATGTAGGGGAAAGTTCTTCAGGATGTTTAAGCTCCAAGCCAAAGGTGGTCCCATAATTATTCAGTAGGGTCGTGAGCATTGGCTTGAGAATTTTGTTCAATACCACTTTTTCTTAAGCCCATTTTTTCTTAATGATGAAAACCCCTTTCTCCATAGTAATCAACTTAAAAAAATTTCTTTTAAAGTGCCTAGGACCATTCTAGTATTGCAGAACTGTAGCAGTAGGCTCAATTTCTAGAAGTTATATTTAATACGTTCAAGATGGTGTACCCTGAAATCTAGAGAAATTGCCTGAAGCCACATTAAAAAGCTGATGATTATCTTGAAGTGTGTAACTATTTGAAAGATGTCTTCCAAAGTGTTTGTCAATATTTGTAGTTAATCCAAGAGTATATGTTAGAGGTAGATCATGGTCTCTCCTGGGTCTGGTTTTGTTCACTATTTTCTTTAATAGTTTCACTGATGGAATATGAGCACAAATGTTAAAATTGTGGCTTTGCAACAAGCTTGTAGTAGTTTGAGGCATATTGAGAGAGCAATAATTCTGATCTTGATAAATTAGAGGAGGATCTAAAGTTAAGACAATTTTCAGTTGAAGCAAGCGCCAAGGACTCTAGCAAGGAACAATCTGACAAACTAAAATTTGAGAAATAATTCCATAAGCACTATTGCCATAGGATAGACTTGTGGGGTTATATTGGGCCATGAACTGAGAAAAAGGCAGCAATATGTTTCCCCTAAAGGTGAATTCCAAATTTGAGTTGTAGTCATATGACTTTTAATGAGGAGATATGATTATTTCTTTCTGTTCTTCATGAGTAGAATTCATGGGGAGCACAATTTAAGGAAAACCTTAAATTGAATAAGTTCAGTTTTGTTTCTTCTGAGGGAAAAATAAAGAGAAATTTCAGGAGGGACGTGATAGTTTCCCAGTATGTAAGATGTTCTTATACGGGTGATTAAAATTTAATCAGAATCATTGGCTAAATATGATTATAGCTGTAAACCACATCGGGCTATATCATGTACTGTGTTGCCTTTGGCAGTGCATAAACAGCTGGATGAGAGGAATGGTGAGGGGTTAAGGGCCTGGTGCCAACCCCAAGTGTGGGTGAATGCCAGGGAAGTGCTTGGAAAGGTGCTGTAGACCACCCACATTGTCATGTATTGAGTTTAATGGGTGTGAGAATTTATAGCATAAATCCTGATGACCTGCAGTGAGTTAATTCTGAAGCTTTTAATGGTTTCTTATAATATCTGTGTATTGTGCAGGATTGCTTTTAAAACCTTGATGAGTATCAAGTGTGGGTGTTTGAAGACTTATTTAGATGTCAGTCTGATTGGAGGCCTGTTTACAATATTGCTTTACCCATATTTTGGGAAGCTCAGTTAATCTTTGACTAGAATGCTATCCTGCTTTTCCTATAATAAATGAGATGTGCAAATACTGCCTGTATCAGTTCAAGGCTTTGTTCAAGCAAGGAGTTTTAAATTTAAATAAGGAATTGTTTTTCTTTAGAGCGTACTTTTTCTTCTGCCTTGTTTGTTTTTTTTTTTAACTCCAGTATTTTTTATCTCTTGGCTTTGTTAGGACATCATTGTACTGTGTTTTAGCATGATTTACTCACATAGTTAAGTATAACTGGAGCAGTAGAAAAAAAACGTTATTTAACCAGAAAGTCAATTACTGGTCTCCATCACTGAAATTTGTGGAATACCAAAGACTGTAATCTGCCCAGATGACTAAATCCTTAGAAATGAAATTATAAGGAAAAGGATGAATATTTTGAAATAGGACTTATAAATAGTTTTGTGTAAGTGTAATATTTGAAAGTTATATAAAGTTAGAGCTAGAAGGTGAGATGACTGCTCATCTAGTTTTCACTTTGTGTTGCAATGGGGTTAAGGAATTCAGAACATCAATGACAGAGTTTATCTGAACTCATAAACACCTTGAACAATATCTCGATAGCTGTTAAAATAGTTTAGTGTCATTGTTGGAAGGTTTTCCTAATGTTTGATATGTACGATTTTTCCTGCAAATCAGAGTGTTTTATTGTGAATATTGAAAGTGGAGCTGGCAGTTAACGATGTTCTTTAATTGTTTGAAAATTTGGAATGCTTTTAGTCCATTCCTCTAGTAACTTTTCTTTTATGCTAATTGTGACAAAATGCTAGCATTCTTTTTATGAATGATTTTGTCTTGCTCTTTGTTTACCAAAGTGGAATACTTTTCCTTTAGTCTGTGCAGGAAGTATATCATACTGCACTCTGCTCTATTTTAATTTCAAGACCCTTTTCTACAAATTTGTTTCCTAACCAGATGTTTCCCATTCTGTATTTATACAGAATCAGCATGGTGGTGTTTACTTGACTAGATACTTTGTTTTCCTAGGTTTTTAATTTATCAAGTTCATTATAATTTTATTTTGTATAATAATGGTTCTACCATTTAGTTTATGAATGGGTAAATGCAAGCTTTAAAGCTTTACCAC